GGGAAGCTGCACCTGCATACTCGTGATGGACACAATGTCCGGCTGCACAACGTGCTGCACGTCCCCAGCTCGGGCCTCACCCTGACGTCTGTCGACTTCGTGAGAGGTCGACAGACCTCATGACACGCGGCTACTCGGTCACGTTCAGCATGGACAAGACGGGCTGCTGGTTCTTATGCATCAGCCTCCTGCACAACAGCCCGTCTATAACCGCATGGAGTGAGCGTGGGCACTATGCATGGACGTGGACCTGCAGGTGCCGACCGACGTCACCGTCAATGCCCTCAGCACCACGGGCGACAGAGCTGGCGGGGGCCAGGCCCCAGGTAGCAGCGCTGGCGGAAGTGCCGCCACCATCACCAGCACCCGTGGCGGCAGCACCGCCGGCAGCCACACCGGTGGAGGCCAACCGAACAGCGACAGCAACGGCAAAGGGCAACCAGGCAACGGCAGCCCCGGGGCCACTGAATGCTCAGTCGCCGAACTTGCGGCAGCACAGCACCTGCACTGCCAGTATGGTCACCTCGGTTACCGCGTGCTGAAGCAGCTGATCAGCAAGCAGCTGGTGCAGGGGCCACAGGTCACTCCAGTGGCACTACGGCAGGCGGTGGAGGCCGTCTGCGAGGCCTGTGACACCGTGAAGGCCACCGCAACCGCCCACCCCAGCCGCGGCAACCGGCCGTAGCACGCACTGGAGGTCGTACACTCTGACCTGTGCGGGCCCATGCCGACCACGGGCCGAGGGGGCGCACGCTACTTGCTGAAGCTGCTGGATGGTGCCGCTGGTCTGTCCGCCGTCCGCACGCTGGCCAGCAAGAGCCAATGGGCGAAGTGCTGCAGGACATGGTGACACAGCTGGAGGCCCGCCACCCGAACCACGCACGGGTGCACACACTGCACAGCGACAACGGTGGTGAGTACGTCACCAAGCAACTGGAGCAGTGGCTGCACCAGCACGGCACCGCACACACCCACTCGGCGCCGTACACCCCAGAGCAGAACGGAGTGGTGGAGTGACTCAACCACACGCTCCTCAACTGTGTGCGGGCGATGCTGCATGACACAGCACTCCCGGTCAGCTACTGGCTGGAGGCTGCACTCTACACCAACCTCCTGTGCAATGTGGTCCCCTCTCAGGGCCGGGAGGCCACACCGTGGGCAGCTTATCATGGCATCCCCCCCGACGTCAGCCACCTCTACACCTTCGGCTGCCTGGCCTACATCCGCATCCCAGCCAGCCAGCAGGACAAACTCAGTCCTCGTGCAAAGGCGGGAACCTACCGCTGACCGGAGCACGGCATGGCCACCCACCACGTCCTCCTCGAGGGCAAGGTGACCGTGAGCAGCGACGTCACCTTCGATGACAACCGCCACGGCCCGGTTCACAACAGGCGGGCACCCTCTTCGGCACTAGCCCCGCCTGCCCCGGCGGCAGTGACCCCATCGGCGGCTCTACACCGCCCGCCATGCTGCCGACCCCAGCGGCTACCCCACCCCCGGCGACCCCAACACCACCCCTTCCATCGCAACACCCGCAGTCAACGGCAGTCCCTGCACATGCCACAGCCCCGGTCAGTGACGGCCTGCCAAACCGACAGTGGCGGCGGCGGAAAGTCGGGAAGTCCACCGCTGCTCGGGTGGTAGCGCTGACAGCGCTAAGTCTAACATGCCCGACGGCAGTGGCGGTGGCGGGGGCAACAGTGCGGTGCACACTGCCAACGACATGCTGGTGACGGCGGACAACCTGCAACCTGCCCAGTTTAAATGGGGGGGACTAACGGCTCACCTCGACTGTAATCACAAATTTAGATGCTTAATTCTCCATACTGATATTCTCCTTTCACTTCGTCAATTGCTTATACTTTACTGTTGCAACCACTAGCAATGTGTGGGCAATGTGCACTGTACGATCAATGCAAGAAAACAAACCGTTTCAATCATTGGAAAAGGCACACAGCCCAAATGCTTGCTAATGCCAGCCGATCAAAACTTTCGCCTAAAGCTTTCCAAGAACAAGGGGCAGGAGAGAGGGGAAAGTGCGGGGAAGTGGGGCGGCAGCCCCACGACCCCGCACATCCCCCCCAAGACCACCTGGCCACCGACATGCAATCATGATAGGAATGAGCGGGAGCCAAGGGAACATTTAAAAGCATGATTTTAAGTGTCCCAAACTTCGTCTTGGAAGACGCCCATCTCCTTAAGCGCAAGCTAGTAATAGCCCGACGACCGTTTGTTATCTCTTCCAGAATGGCATCCGATGGTGCCCTGGGTGTGGATGTGCATGGGCCGGACAAGGTAAGAACGGGGTTGGACTGCGTCTGACTGGCTGAAGAACTGGCACCAATGGTGCACGTTTCTCACATTTACACCAAGTCGCGTTCCATGCCTGTTCTATTCCCAATGGTGTTAACCTTCTGCAGAAGCGTCAAAAGCTGGCAAAATTGACGGGGTTGGGCTTCGCCAGGGACATGGCCGAAGTCATCGTGGAAACGCTTGGGATGTACCCCATCGGGCAGTCGGCCGATGCCGGAGCAGGACTTCCTTGTGTTTGAGTTTGGTTAGCTATGGGACGCGACTTATAAGCAGAACTTCCTTGTGTTTGAGTTTGGTTAGCTATGGGACGCGACTTGCAAGCAGGACTTCCTTATGTTTGAGTTTGGTTAGCTATGGGACGCGACTTATAAGCAGGACTTCCTTGTGTTTGAGTTTGGTTAGCTATGGGACGCGACTTGCAAGCAGGACTTCCTTGTGTTTGAGTTTGGTTTGCTATGGGACGCGACTTATAAGCAGAACTTCCTTGTGTTTGAGTTTGGTTAGCAATGGGACGCGACTTGCAAGCAGGACTTCCTTGTGTTTGAGTTTGGTTAGCTATGGGACGCGACTTATAATCAGAACTTCCTTGTGTTTGAGTTTGGTTTGCTATGGGACGCGACTTGCAAGCAGGACTTCCTTGTGTTTGAGTTTGGTTTGCTATGGGACGCGACTTGCAAGCAGAACTTCCTTGTGTTTGAGTTTGGTTAGCTATGGGACGCGACTTGCAAGCAGAACTTCCTTGTGTTTGAGTTTGGTTAGCTATGGGACGCGACTTACAAGCAGAACTTCCTTGTGTTTGAGTTTGGTTTGCTATGGGACGCGACTTGCAAGCAGAACTTCCTTGTGTTTGAGTTTGGTTTGCTATGGGACGCGACTTGCAAGCAGAACGTCCTTGTGTTTGAGTTTGGTTTGCTATGGGACGCGACTTGCAAGCAGAACCTCCTTGTGTTTGTTTGAGTTTCCATGTAAGCAACTATCGACAACAATCCATCCTTGGCCTGTTTTGCAGTCCTGTCAGTATTCCAAGTTCTGCACCTGCAGCCTCATTTTACAGCAGAACACCCAATTCTAATCCTCCAACTGTGTTCCCAATCCTATGGCAGCGACCTCATCCTAAACTTGCGAAAGCCTGCAATCCCCGTCCTGTCGACCAGGGTCCCATCCCCATCCCTGGCCAGGGCTCCCAATCCCCTCCTTGGTCAAGGTTGCAATCCCCATCCCTCAGACAGGGATCCCATCCCCATCCTCACCCCCGACAGCAATCCCCATCCCAAAAGTAGTGTAGCACGCCTAATCCCTAATCCTCGCCCTGGGCCCCACATCCCATCCTGACGTTGTCAACCCTATTCGCCATCCCGCCTGACCAGTACCTGCCCCCAATCCCCCATCTCTGCAACCCTCTGGGCTCTCTTACTGACGATGGTGACAATGAAATCTTCCAATGTGACTGGGAGGCACAGGAGCAGACCAATATTTTCAAGCTGCTCGGGCTGGGTGAGTCACGGGACTGTGTTGACCAGGTCCACATTGCCGGCGGCCACATCATGACTCTGTACTTGTCATCACAGAACTTTGTTACCTGCTTCTATCTGTTATTCTGACATGTATGCTAGCTATTTACCGCCGTCAAGGGTTGCAGTCCGATGCTGCTGCATGATAACTAACGTAATGTTTTATTGTTCTTTGCCCCTCTATTTGTTTTCAATGCAGATGTATTTTAGCTCTTGAGTGTCGAGGAGGCAGAGCAGTGTCTTGAAGCTGTTTCAAGCAGCAGCCGGACCCCATGACCAATGGATGTCGAGCGCTGGACCAGATCACCTAGCAGCAAATCAGAAAGTGAGTTCCTGTCAAAATTTGTGTTGGTTTCATGTCAGGGTTACAAATAGGCTGGTTGGGTGCTCACCAAGAATGCATGGTTTTGCGACATCGTGTTAATTGTGTGCTTCAGTATAGCAACCTGTCCATTTTTACTCCACTAAGCCTATATGCCTATAACTAACTGACTGACACATGTCCCGCTGCTGTTGCAGTCAACCACCTTGGACATGGTGAAGCAGTGGGCGACAGATGTGGGCGGTGGAGATTGCAACAGCCATGATGACAGCAAAGGCCACCTCAAAGCGCAGCCGTTCTGGACCTGATGTCGTCTTGACTGAAGCGGATCATGGAAACAAAGGCGAAGGGGAAGGGGGGCAAGAAACAACGGTGGTAATGGATGCACGTTTATTTTGGGGTGGATGCACATGCAATGTGATGGACAGCTGCATTGTCTTCTTTTGTGGAGGTGCCTTTTCTTAGGGCTGAAGGCACGTTCGTATCACATGGTGGACAGGGTCTTGAGACGGCTTGGCTTATAAGCAAATCCGTATTAAGACACTGTTCATCATATGATAAGAACACGCCTTCCTAGTTAGGATTGGAGGCGCGTCCATATGGCGCGATGGACATTATGAAAAAGCTTAATTTGGGTCTGAAAGGGGCCGTCATATCACGTGATGTATATGTTTCATTTTATGGAGACGGCTTCTTTTTGGACTGAAAGGGGCCTTCATATCACGTGATGTACATGTTTCATTTTATGGAGACGGTTTCATTTTGGACTGAAAGGGGCCTTCATATCACGTGATGGACATGGGCTCGTTTTATGGAGACCACCTTCATTTTGGACAGAAGGGGTATTCAAAGCGTAAGGGACGTTCATTCTGAGCTACCTTCATTCTGTAATGAAGTGGTCCTCATTCCAAAATGAATCAT